ACAGAAAGAGAGATGATAAGTCAAAGAAGAAAATAAAATAATTAATTGTGAAAAGTTGACATGGAAGGCTATTTCAAAAGTAAGTGACATTATTAAAGAAAGTATAATATTTAAAAGTGCTTTTAAAAAAAGAGAGAAAACAACATGATATATGCTTAATACTCTTGAAATTGAAAAGGAATATGAAAATTATGAAAATAGAATGATTTAAGATAATAATGAAGTTGGTGGGAGGAGATTATATTTTAGCTTATGACAATGATTACATAATTCTCATATCGTATGACCAACGAGCTCCACACCAGTTGAGTTTTCAGATCAATGTGCTTAGTCTTGCTATTGTTCATTTAGATGTGAACATAATTAATCTGTACTTGAATATATATAAATAGAAAAAAAATGGGTATTTCCATGTATATCACACAATTCTTATGTAGTTACATATCTAACACCTAAGCTTTTATATTTACATACATAACACTCAAATCTTTAGTATCACATTAAAAATATCACTATTACTAGCTTTTTAAAAGTGAAATACACAATTTCATGCATAAAATGTAAATATAGAACATTAGGTGTTGGATATGTAAATCATTAAATTGTATGGCATGCATGTAAATTTCTCCATTAAAACAAAACATCAATTATTATCATTAAACTTTATAGTTTTGATAATTTTTTTCGAAGCTCTATTGCAGCAAAAAAAAAGAAAAAAAGCAAGATGCATCATCATTGCATCAAACAATTAGTTTGTGTGAAATACAATAGGATCTTGATTAGAGGAGGCAACGATCTTGATTTACTGGCAAAATTTTTTAAATGAAAACAATGATACATACGAGTGTTTAACCGAAATATAGATGATAAGTCAAAAAAGATATAAAATTAATTATTTATGAATAGTTGACATGGAGCACTATTTCAAAAGCTAGTGGTATTATTAAAGAAACTATAATATTTAAAAGTGCTTTAAGAAAAGAGAGAAGACAACGTCATCTAGGCTTAATACTCTTGAAATTGAAAAAGAAGATGAAAATTATAAAAATAGAATGATTTAAGAGATGATAATGAAGTTGGTGGGAGGAGAATAAATTTTAGCTTATGAGAAGTGATGATGATAATTCTCAAGATGATTAATTAAGTTAAAAGAAAAATTATAGTTGCAAAAATAATTAGAATATTAGAATTTTAAGTAGTTTAGCACTTAAACCCAACCATCAATTTAGTTGTTTTCATTACAGTAAGAAGTTAGCATACATACATACAAGAGCACTTGAGCCCAACCATCAATTTAGTAGTTTTCCTTACCATAAGAAGTTAACAAACATACACATATATAGTTATTATCTATTCAAACATAATCAAATAAGAATCTAGTTCGATGTTGTAACACCTTGTTTTAATGCAAAGCTGAGCAGTTTCGTCTCCTTGACAAACAAAAGAAGAGGAAGCAAGAGAGATGAAGGGGAGAAGAAGCTGAAGCAAGCAGTTGAGCATTCGAAGGAGGAGAAGTGAGAAGGCTCATGCGACAAGTAGAGATGAAGGGACATAAGCGGAAGAGTGAACCCCTACACTTGATCTAAGACGGTGAGCAAGCGAGCACGATGTGAGAGATGGCACTAGAAAGTCAATTGATCTCGAGTGAAAACATCGGCACAAGCTCGAGCTACAATCTTTCTATGCCCTAGCAAACACATAAAACAATGATCGGTGAGAATGAAATGTGAGTTAGAAAAATGCAAGTTAGTGTCATGATTGAATATCCTACCCGCATACAACATGCACTAAGCTCAAACATGCATTCAAGCATAGGAGAGTTTTGTGTCAGTCAATCGAATAAGCAACAACAGGCTGATGATCGCACATGGAGTTCGCCCCCTTATAGAGACGTAGGTACAAACGCGCGCACACATGCATTTCTACCACCTCAAAAAAATATAAAATTAAAATCATATACTATTGTGCAGATGGAAATGTATCAGCTAGGCGTGAGTATGTAAATTTTCACCTCAGATACTAATAGACTTGCTCTTTGCCCCACTAAATCGCTGAGCACATATCAGCTAAGGATTTGTTAAGTTATATTTATACGGTACCACAGAGACAGATCTAAAAATTAAGAATAAAAGATACTATAAAAATAAAAATATAATATCTCAAAAAATTTACCAAAAGTTGAAGACATACAAATTTTAGACTCCGCTTATGAACAAGCATCATTAATATTTTTCTATAATATAATAGAAAAGACAACATACACGTTACCTTTTTTTTCATTGAGTTGATATAGTTTAAAAATATAATTGCACTATTGTGTTATTTTAGATAGCATGTCATATTGTTATTTACTATTCCAGGTAAAATGAGTGAAAGAAGGGAGATTGTGTATTGTTGATGGCACAATAATGTAATAATGTATGTTATTTTAACGTTCATTTGATTTTAGCATTTTATAGCTTTTATTATTTGATTTAAAATTAGTAATTAAATTTGAATGTCACCATTCTATCATCTGTTACCACCTTGAAAATTTTACGTCTGGGCTCAATAGTGACAAAAGTGATATTTGTATGTCATGATCTAGCTTGGGAGCTTGACATTTCCAATACGAGAACAAAAAATAAGAAGGTAAAATTTAAATTAATTATTAATTCTAAATCAAATAATATGAAAATTTTAAAATGTAAAAATTAAAATTAATATTCAAATAATATATTACTTTAGTGTTGCTTCATCTACGATACAATCTCTCTTCCTTCACTCATTTTTATCTGGAATATGAAATAATATAATGAGTTATCTAAAATAACATAATTGAGTCATCACATTTTTAAACTACAGTGACTCAATAAAAAGAAGATAATATATATGTTGATCAATTCTAATACACTTTAGAAAATCATATAATAATCTAAAAATATTAATACCATGTGCTCATTGAAGAATCTAAATTTTTTATTTGTGTTAACTTCTATTTTATTTTTTGAGGTTTAATCTTTTTTAAATTTATTATAATTATTACTATTTAACTTACACATCCATCTCAGGAGTATCGTCCAAGCATAACCTAACACACATCCTGACCTATATATATAACGTCGGCACAACGGGACACAGAAAAAATCTACTATTGTTTAAGGGGAAAATATATCTATTCGCCCATAACTTATTCGTTTCCACAACATAGCAGTATATGATTTTTATTTCACAATTGTCTAAGATGATATAAATACATCTTTATGCGCGAGTAGAGTGGCAGCCCGTATCTTAAGGGGTGAACTCTATCTATCATCATACGCATACAATCATTCTTACAAAATGTGATTCTATTATATTAATATGCAACAACTTTTTAAAGATATTTTATGATTACCAACTAATCAATAAATGTCATTATAACAAAATATAAATGTTATGTTATAGTTATCTAATATCTTTCTAGAAAAATTAATGTGCAATTATTTAAGCAAAAATTCAACATGCATTTATTATACTTAATAGTTTGTAGAATCCATGGTTGAATAGATATCACTGTATAAAACATAATCATGAAAAAAATGGAATCAAAATTATATTTGGAAGTAAAAATAATACTATAATTTAAAAATCTAATTAATTACTTTTAAATGCACTTGCAAGCCTTGATATTCACGGAAAAAATTTGATGTTATCAATAACTTCAACATATAAAACAAAATATTCAATAATAAGAATCATGTAAAATTATGGTTAATTTGATTCTTAAATTTTCTTGATCTAGATTAGTATTCTATAAAATAATTTTATAATTTTTAATTTTTTTTATAAATATAGGTTTATTGATCCATTTTTCTTCTTATTAATTAAATTTATCTACTTAAAATTCATACCTTCTTTTTAATTCAACATATAATTTTACATTGATTTTGATTGCATCTTAACAATAGGTACTTTTACAAACTAAGATTGCTTTATTTTCTTATATTAAATCATATATAATTTTCTATTAATGAGATCTGATTTAATCATATAATTTTTCCGATAATTTGCATGATAAAGATGTAAAACTATATATTAATGTTATTTCTTTCAAGTAAAATACAAAAAATTGTAAAATTTATTTAAGCTATTATAGAATCAATGCTAAATTAATGTTAGGATTTACATACAAAAAAAATGATGAATATGCACTATAAAACTCTCATTGATCTCAACCCTAACTTGATCGATGGTCACACCATTGCGCTGCCTCTTAAAATTGATCAACACTATTACCCTCATCATCGCTCCTACCCACTCATAACTAATGTGATCATCAACCCGCTGCAACTCATGTGATTGATCCACACGAAACCCCGTATGCTCATGTGCACGTTAGAGTGCAATGCTTGTTGCATGTAGGAGGGATAGTTGATCATTGAACTAAATTGCATTGCCCTAACTTGATCTTCGTTCACACTCAATTGTTGCTCGTGTGTTTACTAGAGCATAGAAAGATTGCAGCCCAAGCCTGTGTCGACGCTACCACTCGTAACCCCATGGAGACATCTCCTGCACTGCGCATGCTCTTTCAATGTCTTCGATCAAATATAGGGACTAACTCTTTCACTTAGTCCCCTTCCTCTTTACTCATTGCACGAGCCCTCTCGCTTCACCTCCTCCTTCGAACACTCGATTTCTCGATTCAATTTCCTCTTTTCGTCTCCCTTGCTTCCTCTTATTTTGTTCGTCAAGGAGACGCCACTATGCTTCACATTAAAATGAGGTGATACAAATTTTTGGCTCAAAAACTCATTAAATAATGAGCTTGCAAAAATTAGTTAAATATGAGTTAACTGTTGAACCTAACAGAATCAAACAAAAACAATAGACATTGTTGCAACCCTAATGTCTAGATTAAAATGACTCAACTTAGTTATAAGAAAGATCAATTTTTGTTATCTCAAATAAAATTCAGAGGGAAAGATCACAGAAAATTGGTATGCAAAGTTTAAAATAAAATTTTAATGTAAAATTACCTCACAAAGATGTCGATTCCTTGCGGCAGCTGCAGGATTACATTTAGTCTTCATCTTCTTGGAATCAGTCACGAAGTCACAATGCAATGCTCCACATAAATCTGCCAAGCATCGACCTTGACTCTGGATTCAATATGAAATAGATGACTTATATTATCAGTAAATAAAAGAGGGAACAAAAATAGAACAAACATGAATTTTATTAACAATTCTGTAATGTAAACTTCATGCCATAAAATTTATGATGGCCATCTCCATTCTTTCAACATGAGCATAGTTGAATTAATGATCTCAGTATAAAACTATAGGAATGAATTAATATGAGGGGAGAATGAAATGTACATCATTAAGCAGATTATAATGTCGGTTGTCAAAATGTTGATCCAGAAATTTTTCAGCACGAAAGCTTTTTTTGCAAAAGCCACAGCGCCACTCATTTGTTTGCACATGGATTTTGTGCTGTTCTTGATCTCGAAACATATCATTTTCAGGGTTCAGCCTGCATTTTTTTGGAAGCTGGTACCGTTCCTCATCAACAAAGGGTATCAAATACTGTCATGAAAGAAAAGAAATAATAAATAAGGGCTTAAAATCTGATAAAAAGAATCAGTAAGACATCTCACCTCCTCAATAGCTTTCCAGGCAGCCCTACTCCTCTCTCTAGAACAATGCACTTCATGTATTTGTTCAACTTCTTGCTTAAGAGTTCTGAATAATAGAGATAAACAGCATTAAAAATATATATTGAAAAAACAAAGTTTACAAGAAGATTTATGTTTTTGGCCATGCCCTGTTTCCACGTATAACAATTTAAATTTTGAGATCAGGTGCATCTCATTGTTCTCCAAACAAAAACCAATTTGTTAAATGAAATAAATACGGATTAAAGTCCAGACAATTCTTCAGGAAAAAATAGCTTATTTACATCTGAAGATAGCTAAGGTTGTCAAAACAGTTCGTTGTTCACGAACAGTTCCTGTTCAGTTCATTAAAAAGCTCGTGTTCGATTCGTTCTCTAAGCTACCAAGCCAAACACGAACAATTTTTTTGCGCTTGGCAAATAAAAGAGCCGAACACGTACAAAGATTTGTTCGATCGTGTTCGGCTCGTTTTGGCTCGAATTTTTTTTTTTTTTTTGAAAAAGCCCAAGGGTTGATATATTAAAGATAAAAATACAGATAGGTTTGTATGGGTGGGCCTAAACACCCAACCCATACGGTACAACATACACCAAAAAATGTAAAAGATAGGTATATATAGAAATAAAAAGAAACCCAAAAACCACCCGGGCACTGAAAAAGTGTGGGTCATCCCAATTTAATCTTGTCTCTAGTTCTAGTTCTCGGTAAGGATCCAGCTAGCAGATTGGTAAGGTGTTGACCATTACCCGTAGTAACCAAAGTATCATCCATAAGATTCATGAGCTCTAGTAGATCTCCATTTTTTTCTTCCTCCTGAAAGTGTAAACCTGTCATTCCTCCTCCGAAGAATCCGCCTGAAGGGGTAGAGCTGAAGAAGAAGGATTCTCAACAGTAATACCCACAATAGGTTCTACAATATGTGAAGTATGAGTTGCCGCTACATCGGTTACTTCTTGAAGAAGTAGAGCTGCGACGCTCTCCTGATTATCAGTCTAAACACTATCATTTATAGGTAATAGTCTATCAGAATTAATTGTGGGTTTGAAGGTGTCAACATCACATCACTCGCAATAACAGTAACAACAGTGTCATAGGGGGGTCCTCAGGGGCAACAGACATTTCCTATCTGGTAGCATCATCCCCAGACGTAACTAAAATGTCCAGAGCAATAGGGTTAGACTTATCCTTATTCACTTGAACCTTAGATTTCAAATTTGGATGAAACTTATGACATTTATCAAGGACATGACCAAACATCTTACAGTGGGCACAATATGGAGGTTTGTGTTCCATGATGATTTGTTACCAATAACCATTATGGTTGTGCCCAGCCAGACTTCAGTAATATCAGGTAAAGTAATATATCTTTCCACAAGTATTCTGACCACCGAGGGTCTAATTAGGTTGAAAGTGAACAGATCTACTTTCAAATGATCCCCAAAGATGGCCACAATAGCGTAGAGAACCTGATGGTGAAAAAAATGTAGCTTGAGATCAGGTAAACTAAATCATACTGCTGTAGTGGGAGTTTCATGATTTTGGTCGAAATTAGGAGACCACTTGAGTAATTTCATTGATTTGTCTTCGATATTAAAATATTTCTTGGAGAAAATTCTGGTGTAGTCTTCAGCCACTGTTAGTTGGATCAACACATGTCTGTTATCCATGAGTCTCACTTTTCTTTCTAATAACCTCCATAGGAGGGTGTCCCCACTGAAATTTTTCAATAAGAGCAAACTTGAATTTTTCCGTCATGGTAGAAATTTCTGATTCAGAGGAAAAGATTGCTTCTTTTCCATATTTTCTGCTTCCCTTTTTAATAAAAGGACAGTCATCTGTACCCTCACGAGATTTCTTATAACTTGAGGGGAATCTCACTGCGAACTCCACCTGAGGGTTACCCACCACGTGAGCAAGGGAGACTTTGTCTGGCTCAACCAAACAAGGAGGCGCCATCAAAGCAAGGAGAGCTGTCCGAGTTAAGGTACAGTGAAGTTGTTGCGGAGACACGCCAACGAAGGAGGGCGCGAGCCGACGAAGCAGAAATGAGCGTAAGCTTCGAGCAACAGATTCAATGGCGATCGTCATTCGAAACTCTAACTGAGCAGTCGTCCGCCATTCGAAAGATATATAATTACTTGCTCGAAATAAAATATATATATATATATAATTGATGGGTAGTATTTTTAAAAAATTAATTGATGGCTACAAAGATTTATAATCAATTAAAACTATTGATTAAAAAAAGTAGAATAAAAATAAATTAAATTATATTTAAATAATAAGATTTAACAACCCTTAAAATCTTACGGCTGCGTAACTACAATTGTCAAAACAACTCTTTGTTCGTGAACAGTTCGTATTTTTTAACGAGCCGAACACGAGCGAGCCCAGGTTCAGCACGTGTTCGGCTCATTTACACCCCTAAACACAACAGTAGAGTACAAATCTTGAATGTTTTTAAGCAAAAATTAATAAAATTCATTAATGCAAATCAATTTCAGTTTGTTGAGCACTCGGACAGCCACAACAAAGTGATTTACCTATGAAAGATAGAACCTTGTTTTTTTTTTCTGACAGGATAGTAAGCTAATACAGTGAAGGAAAGCTTCATCAGATAGTTATTTCTTTTGAATTCAAGTAATAGCAATAAAAGTAGAAAAAAAAATAATTATACAATTAAATCATAAACATGTCTTAAAGTTAATTGATTGACAAACAGAAAGATGAACATTACGCCGAGAAATCAATCTTAATAACGAGGATGGGTATAGCACCTTGACGTAGTTGCTTCATCAAACTCCTATAAACAAAAAGAACAAAAAAATGAAAAGTTTAGGGGTCAGTGCATAAAATTACTTTCAAACGATGCCTAAACATTAGCAAAAGATGGGCGATTTAAGAAATGAATTGAACATCTAGCAAACAGCAGGTTTTATAAGTTAGAAGTCACAAGGTATGAATTACACTCTACCCCAACTGTGAAAGCAGATAAAAAATAAAAATATGCAGATTCCGTCGCAACAAACAATAACAATAGGGTATAAGAAGATAATAAACATGGTGATACAATACTAGAAAAAGGGAAGTTGAAAATAGCATTTTTGTTTCATTTTTTTCCCTTTTTTCCAAAATACTTGTGGTGTGAGCCCATTCATTACATCAGTATGGCGTAAAATTTAGTTTGCATGACCAACTCATAAATTTGTTTGTGTAGGTTTTGGGAAAGGAAAATAATTATTCCTCTTCAATTTCCTAACATTGATTACAAGATAAATAACACAGAAAGACCACCACATTAGGAAAGCCACAAAATCCTCATGCTAGAAAATGGAGATAAAAATTACCAACTTTAACCAATTCTAAAAGTAGAAACCACTAAAAATAGAAAATTATAAAAATAAAATATACCAATGTAAGCTCCAAAAATTCAAAATACATTGGGCTCTCATCGAGAGCTTATTATATGTTAAGTTTTGGATAAAATTTTTATAAGACAGATTAAATACTAGATAAGATACTACCTAGAGATTTCTCCTTCATTATGAGGGAACTTTAAAATTTTGGGTACGAGCATCCCAGAGGTGCAAGTCTATATGGTTAATAACCTCTCCCGATAAGAGTACTTTCGATTAAGGTTATTCATTAGGCGCTAAGTATTCAAACTTAGCATATGAAAGCAGCAAATTTAATTTTTGAAATAATGAAATTACCACCATTAGCTTAGAGCGGATAGTGGGAGAAATGATGAAGAACTCAATTAAGATCTCATGGTTTCGTCATCATGGATTGCCATTGTCCCTGATCTACTTAGTCAGCAGAGGTAGCCGACCCAACCTAACAAAAGGATCCTTACCAACATATATGGCTTGATTCGTCTAAGAGAACCTTGTAAACATGGGGTGATTATTTATTTAAGGGAATTAATTTAAGTCGAGCTTAGCTTTCAGAGAGTTTCATGTCATATCAAATATATCTTATGATTCACAACTCAAAGGGCAAACTGTCGGGAACATAAGAGCTACAACAGCGACTGTAATATAATGGTGTCATTTGACGGCAAACCACCAGGTCAGATAACTCTGATCGTAATCACTTCTTTTGTAAAGTTTACAAACCAAACCATACAGAAAGAGAATTCGGGCAATGTCCTTATTGGCATGGGATTATTTTGAGCTTAAATTTAGTTGTATAACCGATATACCATTCGCTCTTTGTAATCTCGAGTCAACATTAAATTTTTCCACCTAGATGGATGATTGCGGAGAGTGGGTTGATTTTGTTCTTTAGCATTAAGTGAAAAAATTTTATTTGATTATTATACAAATTTTAGATTTTAAATTTTGGTTTTTATAAATAGACCCCTTCCAGTTAAGATGCGCAATAAGTATGTCAATCATCATGAATTTAAGCTATTTGAATTGAACCTTGTGGACTATGCCCCACCTACAGAGGATCGGATTCATGATATAGAGTTATTTGACTTTTGGAAATAGAATTTGGGATTTGATTTTGAAATGGACCCCTCCGATTGAGATTCACTATCAACACGACCATTATCGAGATATAAGTTAATTAAATATCATTATAAGCATTAGACATTTCAACTCCGATCTCATGAGCATGAACAGACTAATATGCCAAGAGCTCGGTCATGTCAAATCTGATTGTGATTAGGAGGATCAAGATTGGGAGCTCAGTTTTGTCAACTTATGTCTTGATTAGGAGGATCAGACCAAGGACATTGTCAACTCTTACCCCTGTAGAGAAGAGGATCGCACTAGCAAAACTATGAGTCTTACGACCTTGACCCACAAGCAAGGCAGCATGTTGCCCGTGCAGAATTCTAAGACCACGTGTAAAAACATTTAATAAGTTGGTTGGAGCACATGTGAGTATTTTAATTTATTGATTTGAGTTGATTTTTAAACAGCTCTGCCCATATTTCAGAGTAAATTAGATATATTAAATAGTTTTTAACCCACGCAGCATCCTCGAACATTGTGATCGAGCAACACGTTGTTTACAGCACATACAGGTGCTTAAACTTATTGATTAGAGTTATTTTTAAATAGTTTTGTATGCATAGTGGGGCATATTTGATTTGAGCTTGAAACATTTATTTTAACCCACACAGCATTCTCGGACATTAAAGTTTAATCATTTAGGATAATGCCAAAACACATGCGGGTAAAAAATACTTATGTGTGATGCTTAGTATATTTATATGCTTTACTTGCACAAACTTTGAGACATTTGATGTCCTTCCAGGTGCTTTGCTTGACTTGACATCAATAACTTCATGTACAAATCTTAAAGCATTTAATGTCTTGGGGAATGCAGAAGCTGGAGTGTGCAAGATTTCATTTTAGGGCCCTGATGTTGGCCTTTTGTCTTTTATTATAAGAGTGGTGCAAATCTGATGGCAAGCGTCCAAGATTTCATCTAAAGCATTCTGAATCCGTTATGTTGAGTTCTGCGGCCAAATTATCAAAGTCATCCCCCAACAAAGGGGGACCACGTCGCACCACATCTGATCCTGCAGTTGGTTTTCAATCGAAAACTCTAATAGGCACCTCTGGCCAATGCTGACCTTGTTTTCCTTCTTCAGCCATGTTAGAGAATACGGTTGGGAATGCCTTTGGGTCATGAGGCTCAATTTCTCCACCATCTTGTTGCTCCCTCCATCGATAATGAGATTGCATACATTTTCATTCACAATGCAACAGGTGTAGAATATGTTACAGCAAAGCCAATGCGGATCCCTCGTATTTTCAATCTGTAGGACCCGTCGAACCATGAGTATCTCACCCTCATTCGGTGGAAAATGATACACCTCATCCTAATCCTCAGCTGCCTCATCGTTGCTTACCTCCTCCACTACGTCGTGTTAGGTGAAAGACACGAATAAACTCATTGGACAGCTGGAGGCGAGGTGCCCAAATCGATAGCATATAAAGCATTTTCGGTGGGTACTATATAAAGTATGCTACTGCTTGGGCTTCTTCTCACTTAAGGCGGTTATCCTTATCAAAAGCAATTTTCTAGCTCTCTTAGGTGTGCTCCTGTCGATGTCTCCAATTGTGGGTGACTTATTGAATGGCGGTGGTTGCATAATTTTGTTTTTGCTGTCTCTCCACCTTCAGAGCTAAAGTTTGGACATCTCTCAATGGCCAATAAAGTTGCAGCTATACAACATTGCTAATAGCAGGCTTCAGACCCCTCAAATTACAGTTTATGGTATGTTCCTCTAGCTCGACCAACTCACACTTCCTCTGAAACAAGTCAAACTATGTTGTGTACTTCTCCACTAATAGATCACTATGTCACAGGTAGTGGAGTCTCGAAAATATATCCTGGTAGTAATGAGGTGGTAACTATTTTCTCTGCATCTCCTTTTTCATCTTCTACCACTTGATAATATTGTCACTGTTTTCTCTCTTTCCTTGACTCTGCAAGTTTTACCATCACAAGAATGTGTACTTTCTCAATTTGATGGTTGTAAGTTTCACCCTCTTGTATTTTGATATCTTTGTACTTGAAGATTCTCTCAATTGATTGTATTCATTTGATAAAGTCGATTCATACCTTTATCGAACTCCGGCAGATCCACTTTGATATCAACAATCCCTATATCCTCCATATGTAGTATCCTCTCTGGACCTCCTCCAATACTCAATTCCAAAGTGTCAGGTTTTATCTTCCTCATCACTAAAGTCATCCGTATAGAAGGGATTCAGATCCCCATCCCTTCCTTCCCTTCAACTCTCCATGTTATGATTGAAGGTAAATCTCCCCTTGGGTTCTATTATATATAATCGAAAACCTCTGTTGAAGACAACAAAGTTCTCGCTGTATCTCTTCCCGCGTAGAGTCAAATTTGTATCTCCTTGGTGACATGATTATGGTTTGAAATTTGTGGGAGTGGAAAGGATATTTGGTGGTATAAAAGAAATTTTTTTGGTAGAGATCGTTTGTGTATGGCGGATGCTAGGAAACCCTAGGATATAATTAGGGTTAGACTAGCTCTGTTACCAATTAATACCGAAGTTAAACAAACAACAACGAAACAAGACTGTTATAATAAAAATCAATTAGAGGTTATAACAAACACTAATATAAAAGCAATAAATAATGAAAGAAAATGAATACCAACGCCGAACTAAGGCAGGAATCAAGGTGCCAAGGGAGTTGTCGATAATGTCTGCAAGTGGGGGAAAGTAGGGATGTGGTTGAAGGACAGCAGAGGGCGGGTGGACTGTCATTTGGAGGGAAACAAGGATCAGATGGACTGCGGTTTGGAGGGTAGTAGGGAGGTGGCATGGTGGTGATAAGTTGGCACAAGGGGGAGGGGAAGATTGGTTGGACGAAAGAAAAGGGAAAGGTGACTATGGATGGGCTAAAGTAAGAAGAAAAAAGAGGGTGTTATAATTGAAATGCAACAAGCGGGATGAAAGGTTAGTTACGGAAGATGGGGGCAACAGTAAGAAGAAAAGGAAGGGTTTTGTGGTTCAGCTGCAGCGAGCAGGAAGAAGGGTGGAGGGCGGCAGGGGACACCTCGGAGTGATATACAGTCGGGGCACCACTCGTCCTTGAATACAGCCTTAAGAGGGAAAACGGGGGAGACAGGGGGGTTGTTCTAACAGAACACATAGCAAAAAAAACTAACCATGAACCAAGAAAAGAGCATATTTATATAGTAAACAACTAAGGAGGGGGAGGCCCCTCCCCTTGGGTGGCCAACCTAGCCCAGATAAAGGGTCGGACAATCCTCTCCCACCCAGTTGAACAAGTGGATTCATGATTTTGGGCGTACTTTCCACATGTTCCCAAATAAATATTGGTTTGAGCTATTACAAGATGCAAGATTTTCAGGATTATGGAGATTGGCAAAGTGAGAATCACGACATTTGATGAAATTAAAAAAAAAATTATAATAAGTGACGTATATACTTGAGCTCAAGAGATTAGATTTCAATAGAAATCCTAGACACTTGGTTATGGACTCAGCAATAAAAGTGGGAGCTTTAAAGTATACAAAGGCTCATTTGTTGTCACGAAAAGAATCTTAAATAATGGATTGTATTCTTTGATCGGAAGAATAATTATTGGAGGATTTAGTAATGCAACTATTAACAGGGTAAATGTAACCCAATGATTGCATAGGAGGCTTGGTCACATAAGTCAAAGCAAACTATTGTGCTTAAGAAGCAATGTTTGTTGTATAGATTAAAAATCTTAATTTTTTAATGTTATAGAAAATTCAAAAAGACTCAAATTTACGATTGTTGTGCACTCGACAAATGGAGTCCTTAATTGCATCTATTCATATCATTGAGTAAGCTCATATGGCAGTGCAAGGTATATATTTTTTTCATTATTGATTATTCAACAAAGATATGGGCATATAATTTTCTAAGATATAAAAATGATGAATTCTACAAACTTAAGGAATAAAAGCTTGTTGGAAGTCAAGCTTGCAAGAAAGTGAAAAAACTATGGATTGACAATGCGCTTCAATTTTGTGCTGATGAATTTACAAAATTCAACAAATATCAGAAAATATCAACAGTATATAGCGGGGATGACTCCATAAAAAAATAGTTTGGCAAAGATGTTCAACGTGATCATTCTAGAAAAAATAAAACATGTTAAGCAATGCAGTGTTGCCTAAGAGCTTCGAGATGAAGCAACCAAGCAGTACAATGTTCAATAGATGTCGTTCTCAACCATTAGTTTCAAGACGCATTAAGAAGCTTAGAGTAGAACGTCAACTAATTAATCCATGCTAAGAGTCATTTGATGTAGAGCTTGTGAACAATTAAAGAGCAACAAGCCTAAGCAAAATGTAGGGAATGCATTGTTATCGGCTACTCTAAATGATTTAAAGGTACAAGTTATGATTCTTGAACCCGGGATTTATTGAATGGATGATTAATAATGTTGTGTCAATGAACAAAAAATAGCTAAAATTATGTCATCAAATAAAACACAAGTCAGTTGATACTAAAGAGACAATGTAACATGAGGGGACAGGAGGAACAACCAACCTAAAAATTTTTTTATTCCAATTTTGAAGAGCCTTGATCATAATCTATTGAACAAAATGTACGAACACGTTAATCTGATAGAATACGCTTTTGATACAGATTTGGCGAATGGAGATGATCAAATATCCTACAAAAATATGATCGAAAATGATGAAATAAGTCAACAGGAGAAATTACACAGCAACAAATGACATTGTTAAAGCCAAAAAAAACACTTGGGAATGGGAGAGTGGGCCAAAACACCAAAAAGTAATTATTTGTAAGCGTTTGCTTAGACAGAACGAATGTTATAACAAATCAAAGAGAGTTAGATTCACAAAAAAACTAGTTGCAAGGAGCTTCTCAGAATAAGGTATGGGATCAAATGAGGAGTTCTCACGAATTGTGAGACAAAAACCCAATCAGAATCTTGCTTCCCATAATTACTCAACTCATATGGGGCTAGAGCAAAAGTAATTGAAAATGACATTTCTTTATGGGAGTTGGAAGAAACTATATACATGAAGCAACTTGATGGTTTCACTTAAGAGGGAGCTGAAATTGGGTATGTCTTTTAAAGGATCCTAGTATGGGCTTAAGCAATCATCAAGAATATGATACGTGAATTTAATAATTATATGTTGAAGATTGGTTTCAAATGAAGAGATTATGATTCATACATTTATTGTAAGAAACATGGAGTTTTAAAAAAGGTTTCTCACCCTTTGTATGCTAATGACATGTTCATTGCAAGTTAAAGCAATGCAAAAGCATCAAAAGTTGAAAAAATGGTTCAAAGTAGAGTTGAAATTAAAAACTTATAAAGAATATTCTTCGAAAGGAGATAAAGAGAAAGCGAGTTTCTAAGGAACTATTTCTATTCCAAACTTTTTACTTGAAAAGGGTGCTTATCAGGTTTAAAATATAGGATACAAAAGATATTGAACACATTTTTCCAACATATGAAGTAAGAAAAAGTAATCAACATTAAAGGATGAAAATGCTGCGAGAACCTCACCAAAAAGTAGTTGGGAGTAATATATGCAATGTTGTACAGCAGACAAGATTTCAGCATAAAGGCTCAGTGTGATTAGCCAATATAAAACTAATCCAGGCTAGAACTATTTGGAGGCAGTGAAGATGATTTTAAGGTATCTCAATGGAATATATGAATTGGGCTTGAGATAAACGTGCAGCTCCACTTGAATTGAATTTAAACGGCCTGTATATTTTGATATGGAGCAAATGTGGAAGCTAGAAAGTCACGAACTAATTTTGTACCTAATGTCTTTAGAAACATAGGCTAATAGAAATCTTATTTATAGAATCGGTGGCTCTATCTACTACAAAATCAAAATACATAAATGTGCCTAAAGCGCGAAAGAATTCCTTTGGAATAAAGGGATGAATGTGTGAGCAGTCAATCAAGATGTTTTATATATAATGTCTATTTACTACGAAAGACAGAGTTACATGTTCACCCAAAAATCATGTTCAGCAGTAAAGGGCAAAGCATGTAAATATGAAATTGCATTTCAACAAGAATGTGGTGATTATAGAATTGATTAATATCAAAAGATTTCAACATATCATAATCCGAAAAATATGCTAAAAAAAATTGCCAACAAGGAAAAAATAAAATGAAACAAAACAAAAACAAAAACAAAAAAAAATGGCAACAAGCAAACCCTCAATCGTTTGGAGATGTTGAAAATGGTTCTGTGATCAATATGTTTGATTTAAACCAAAGTTGAGAAATTAAGATTGTAATTATGATTTTATATCTTGTTTTCAGTGTTTGCCTGTTGTTTTTCATGCTAAAAAACCTAATAAATTTTTAAGATTTAGCAGATGTAGTTTAGGTATTATGTTTCTTATTTTCACATTGTATAGCCATCTAAGATCTTGGATTCAGATTATATAAAACCAAAATAAGAAAATCATGCCTTACATCAATACAAGAAGAGGACTTTCCAAAGAATTAAGTACTTTTGCAATTATACCACAATCAGAAGAATTGCACAGCCAACTTGTATAGTAAAAACTAGAAAGATATTCTATTTAAGGAGTTGTTTGGTTTACAAAATTAGGAGCATAATGTAAAAGGAATGCAGGAAATTTAAAATTCCAAGTGTTTGGTTGGAGTAAAAACAAATGTAGTATAAATTTTCAGTGCCTTTAGAATTCACTCCCTAGTTCAATTTTAATGTATTTGAAATTCGTCATATTTGAATGAATTCCAAATACATTGCTTGTGAAAATTTTGGTCGTTACAAGCCGCTGCCAACCAACCCACTACCCACTACCACCACAAACTGTATTTTAATTGATTTCATTTTTTTTCAAACCAAAAACAAAAATATAAACCCTTGCTTTTATTATACATTAAACCAAACAAATTTAAATACACTAAAATTCAACTCAAATGCATTCTTTTTATATTTCATTCATTTTTCAACAAACCAAACAAGCCCTAAGCCAAAAGTTCATCAATGGTGTATCACGTATCTCATATTTATAAACATCAATATTCTCTAAAAGTCTAAAACTTCAAAGTAGTCTAATTCTTGAAATACGAAATATCCAATCCCAATAATTACAATAATTCAAACTATAATAATTAGAGTAGCATTTGTATGCAATTTGTTATCATAATCCAGTAGTTCACTATAGTTGCACCACGGACTAAAAGACAAGTAGATGAGATCGATTTTTGTAACAATAAGATGATCCCAACAGCAGCCACATTAATCTAGTCATCGCCTTCAACCCAAACTTTGACTCTTACAAATTGAAGAAAAATCCAAGTGCCAAGCCGCAACCCACTGCTTTCCCAATACTAAACTCATCTGAAGCAAAAAAAAAAATGATTGCAGAAAATCACCAAACAGTTAGCATAGCAACCTCACATATATCTTCCCCTTATTAAAGAAATAAGCATCAAACCAACAGTGACTCAACAATAAACCAACTTAATTAAAAAAAAAAAACCTGTAAGCCGATTGTTAATTTCCTAGTTGTAGCACATTGGATCCATGCTTACAAAGAATTTAAGCCCACAGATCACTACAATCTATTCTCATTATTGTTAATTAGATCTTGCATTACCAGTGACATCATGCAATAGGTACATCCGTCTTTTTAACATTCTATGTTCATTAATGAGTCTTAATCTGAAGAAAAACTTGGCAACTGCTATTTCATTGAGAATAGAATGAATGATTGAAAACAGATTTTAAAATTATAGAAGCTTTCAAGAAAATCCTATAAAGCAATTCATCCTGGGAAAACTGCCTTGAACATTTATAAGATTCCTCTCAGTGCGATGCTGATTAATTTTCTTCCATCTTGGAGTAATTCCCAAAAAAAGAAAAAAATTACACACACACAAAAAAATCAAATTTTCCACATCCTCTTGCCATGCATCGCATGCCCTTCAACCCTTCACAGGCATTCAATAAACACGAATTAGAAAACTCAACTTCATGTGCCAAATTAATAAAAAAAAAACAGTGCAGAAACAGGAACACTAAGCCCAAACATGCCATTAAAATCACGCAAAACTCGACATGTGATCTCAGCCGGTCCCTCTTCTGCTCGATTTTATTATTCCAGACTGTCCACCGGATTTGACATTAAAACCTAGAAGGAAAAAAAATTCGTCTTTCCGGTTTGAATTATGGATCAACATGAAATTTTCCAACTCAATATTATCCAACATAACATTTTTTTTAAATAAGACAAAGGCCAAATGCCTTCAAATATCGAAATTCAATCACTTTATTTGCTTATGTGAACTCATACAAAATCATCAAAAGAAAACAGAAAAGCGAGCTACGAACTGAAAAATCGCAATTTTTTCAACTTTCAGAGGGAGAAGAAGAGGCCTATCGATCTTAAGACTCATAGAATCAGAGAGAAGGGAGGGTTACCTTGAGAGCTCCGGCTCCCAGAATCGGCAGCAAAAGAACGAACTGGAGAAGTGAAATTGTGACCAACGGCGCTCCCCACATCGCCGAGTGATGACAATTGAATGAATTGATGCGACCGGAGCCGAAAAACGGGCTTTTTCTCCGATATTTTAGCGATAATGTCTAGAACTATTAGCTTTTCATTTGCATTACTACGCGTAAACATGGAAGTTTGGGGTGAGATATTAAATTACATGAGAATTGTGTCCTACGTAGGTGAATGCCCCTTTGTTTTTTAACAAATTTTGATTTTAAATAAAATAAACTTTAATGATTTTAAACTTACCCCAATTTGACACAAATTAATGCAAATTTAGTGGTTGGATCTCCCTCTCAGCAAATTTACATTAATATTATATAAAAATATGAATTATTTTAAAAAAAAATTTAAATGCATAGTATCTTACGGACTGAGTGGAGTGCGGCAAAGACACCTCAGAGTGGTCGTGATCTGAGTCGTTCCGCTAATTGTTGTTGAGAGTTTCGTTGACGAAGTTTTAGGAGGTGAATCGAGGGCTTTGTATGGAGTTTAGTGGTTTCTTCTTCCCTCTCTGAGAGAAGTTTTACCGTATTTTTTTCTTTCTTCGGTTCTATTTTTGCTTCTTTTTTTGGATTTTTCTTTCCGATATTTTCCGGTTAACTATTTGAAATACTCTAGTAAGATTTTCTTTTTTGGGATGTTGATCGATTTTTCCTTTGGGTTGTAGCTCTCTTATATGGTTGAGCTATTGATTTGGTGATTTTAGATTTCTGGGTTCTTCTTTTTTTCTGAGGAATTTTCGAGATTTTTTGTTCTCTTTCCTACTATGTTTGACTTTTTTTTCGGGGTTTTTCCCCTTGCTATTTATATCAAAGAAACTTCTTTGTTTTCTATTCTCCCTTTTTTTACTTCTGTTCTGAGTTCTTTTCCTAATTTAAATAGGAAAGGTTTGATATCATCTCACCTAAATGGTTCATTTTTTTAATATATCTTATTTACCTAATGAGAAAAATTACATTCTTTGATGTTGAAATCGATGAGTACTCAAAACAGTGGTGTTTGTCTCTTGTGGGGTATGCTTTAGGAAAAAGACTATTTTATGGCAATCATTTGCAGGTTATCAACAAGATTTGGAAGCTCAAATGTTTTATTGATCTTTTATCTCTTGATGAAGGTTTCTTTTATTTAAATTTAATTGTCTGAAGATCTTAAAATGGTTTCATTTGGTGGACCATGGTTTATTTACGGTAAGTCTTATTTAAAAGTTATGGTCTCATAATTTTAGGCCTATAAAGGAAGATTTCAAAGATGTTCCGATATGAGTTAAAATTTCTAATATTCCTTTGTGTTGTTAGTCAGAATTGGGTATATCTAAAATTGCTAGTAAGATTGGTGCACCCCGTGTTGTTGATCCTTTAACAGTGAAAATGTATTGTTTATCTTTTGCTCGTGCAAGTATATAAGTCAATATTGATTTTGTTCTTTCATATTTTGTTATTTTAAATGTTAAAGGTAAAGATTTCGTACAGAAAGTTATTTATGAATGGAAAACATCTTCATGTAAATCATGTTATACAATTGCTCATGATTTTCTAACATGTCCGAAAAATCTATTTAAGAAACAATTGGCTATTGCTCTTATTTTTCGAGGTTGGAGTAGAAATATAACGAATTTTATTAATAATAGTAGTGGTAAGTTTTTTATAGTTCCAGTTTCACTTATTGTTAATGATGCCTCCCTTATTCCACCTTCAAATGTGTCTACATGTATTATTTTAGATAACAATTTGATTTTAAGTTATGTTTGACCTTTTATGGCTGATAAGAAGCTTGTGAATCTAGCTCTGGATAATACTAATTTTTGTTGATAAGTCTTCAAATAATGTGATACTCTTAACAAAAATGTGAAAAATGATGATATATACTGCTTCTATTGATAATAATTATGAATTGCAGGCTGATAAGTGTATATTGTTTCTATTGATATTGGTAATGAAATTAATAAGAATATTTCTTCAGAGCATGGTCTTTCAGTTTCTTCTGAAAAAGATATTCGCTCATTTCAGTTTATTACTTCTAAGATGAAGAAAGGTGGGAAAAAAGCTGTTGTTTCATAACTTTTGTTATGTATTTATTTTTTCTTCTGTTTTTAATGATTTGTCCTAATCTTGTTGCTTGGAATGTGAGAGGGTTAAACAATTGGCCCATTTATCTGCTTGCAAAAAGCTTATTAGTGATTATAAAATGAATTTTATATGTTTTTTAAAGACCAATCTCTCTAATAAAAATTTGATTGGCCCTTTTAATACTAACTATTTGAAGATATTTCTTTTTAAAGGGAGTGTTAATAATTTTAAAAAGCTAGTAATGGTTGGACTTTGGTCAAATGGAATACTAAGGTTTTGCATTTCTTTATATTAAACATTGGTAAACATCAAATGGAATACTAAGGTTTTGCATTTCTTTATATTAAACATTGGTAAACACCCATGATATTACTTTTTTTCTCATCTTCAACTTGGTTTTATATTATTGTTTGTTATGTTGATACTAATGATAATAAAAGAAAAGAATTGTGGGATTTCATCAACACTATTAGTCTTGATATAAATGAGCCATGACTTTTATTTGGTGATTTCAATGGTATTTGAAATTATAAGGAGAAAGCTGGCAGTATTCCTCCCATTCCTAGTAGGCGTTGATTTTAATAAATGTATTTTTTTTAATGGTTTGATGGAGCTTCATAATGTTGATTATTCTCTTAGTTGGTTTAATAATAAACTAGATAACCATATTAGATGTCTTCGTGATGGAGCTTTATGTAATTATTATCGGATTAATGCTTTTTTGTTAGTTTTTAATTCTTTTTTATTCGTCATCATCCTAATATTGTGTATTTGGTTAAATCTGTAAACTTAATTATAGATTTATGTATAAAAATTTTCTCAGTTCTTGTCATATATATTATGATATTGTTTCTAAAGCTTGACTCATTTCTGTTCAATCTGATCCTATTTTTTTCCTTATGTAAAAAAATTAAGAACTTTTAAGATGACGTTGATAAAATGGAATTGGAACTCTTCTACCAATCTTAAAAAATTAAATTGATGATTTAAAGGATAGGAATAATTTGGTAATGAATCAATTTGAACATGATCCTCTTTGTATGAATCTTATTTAGCAGGCTTCTATGCTTTAGAAGGATGTTACTCTTGCAAATATTTGTGATTATAAATGGGCTAAGCAAAGAGCTAAGTGCTCTTAGCTTTATAAGGTTAAAGGAGATATTAAATTTCTTTATTAGAAGGCTAACTGTAGAAGAAATTCTAACTTTATTAAGGAAATTCAGATCAATAAAGAGCATGTGAATAATCAATAGGGCATTGCTTATGAAGTCATTTCTTATTTTTCTAATCTTCTTAATTGTAATGCGGAGAGATCTACTTGTTATGATCATTTATTTTCTATTAAGTTGCTTGTTAATAGGGTGGAATTTTTAGTTTTTTTTTTAATATAAGGATATCAAAGATGCTTTTTTTTCATTGGCACTGACAAAACTTTGGGTCCTGATGGTTTATACTTGATTTTTTACTGAATTGAATTGTATTAATGTTGTTAAATGTTTTTTAAAAATTGACAAACTTCCTTATAGAATTAAGCATACTATTATTACTACCATTTCAGAGATAATAATGCTAAATGCCTTGATGATTATAGATATATTTCTCTAGGTAATACAATATACAAAGTGATAGTTATTTTAGTTGCTAATCGTATTAAAATTATTCTTAGAATTATTCATCCAACTCAATCAGCTTTCTTAAAAGGACGTGATATTGCTGATAATATCCATATTTATCAAATGAGTTTTTTTATGGTTTTAGCTCCAACATTTCTACTCAATCAGTTTTCTTAAAAGGACGTGATATTGTTGATAATATCCATATTTAGCAAATGAGTTTCTTTATGGTTTTAGCTCGAACATTTCTTCGAAAAAGTTTTGTACTAAAATTGATATTAAAAAAAGATTTTGATAAAGTTAATAGAAACTTTATTTATTTTCATATGCATTGTTTGATGCTTTCTTTTCCCTTTATCGATTGGGTTAAAACTAGCAATGACAATAATTATTTTTCCATTGTTATCAATAGTGACATGAGAGACTATTTTTCTTCTTCTTCTTCTTCTGATTTAAGGCAATGATGTCATTTATCTCCTTACCTTTTTTAGTATTGTCATGGATGCTCTCTTAATGCATGTAGCAATAATAAGAATAACTCTCATTTAATTTAGTTATCTCCTTGTTTTCAGTAATGTTAATTATGATTCTATTAAGCTTTTGTTCTTCAAATTAACTTTACTGAATCTTCTATCTGCTTTTTTAATTCGGTGGATCTTTTATTTCAATAGCAGTATATTAGTGGTTTCACTTTGAAGCCATTACCTTGGAAATATCTTGGGGTTGTTACTAAATTCTCTAGACTTGTTACTTCTATTTGTCAGACCATTTCGGATAAGCTCTATTTTTGTTTTGTTGGTTGAAAATTGAAATTTCTTTCTATGGCTGGTAGAATTCAACTTGTTAAATTTACCATTTGAAATTATTTATAATATTGGTTTTAGTCTTCAACTTTGCAAAAAGGTTCTCGTAAGAAAATATCATCTATGATTAATAATTTTATTAATTATAATGATAATAATAAGATGATGCATGTATTGGTTGGAATAAAATCACTTTATCTAAACATATTGGTGGTATTTATCTTGTCAGCTCTAGATGTTATCAAAACTATGTGTAAATATAGGATCATTTGGAATATCTACAACTCTAACTCGATTTTAGCTAAATTGGTTTTTAAATCATTATGTTTTGATTTGGTGTATCCTTGAGAATTCTACTATTTTTTGAAAGATCTTTATAATGTTGCTTTGAGAGTTTAATATTTAGTTTCCTTTTCAAGTTAACTTTACTAGTAAGCTTTCTTTCTATTATGATCCTTAGCTTAATGGTTTTTCTTCATTTGAAAATTTTGTGGATTCTATATTCTCATCGTTTAATTATCCAAAAAATACCATGCATTGTGATGTTATTATTAGTGGTTATTGAACTTTGTATGCTAATATTTTTGCTCCTTCTCATTACATCCAAGAGATTTACAATATTTATATTTTCAATAATACTTTTTTGTCTTTAGAATGGGAAAAACAAATATTTTCATAAATATATTTATCTTTTACTCTATGATATTTTCTTGTTGTTGATTAGTATAAATTATTTGGTATAAGGGGTTCTCAATTAAATTTGCTATTCATAGTAGGAAATTAGCCCATAATGGTATGAAAACTTGTGACGTTCTCACTTCTCGAAGCATCTCTGCTAATTATATTTATATTTTATCCTCAAGTAATTTTGAAACTCATAATCATTTATTTTTTCAGTGTATTTTTTTTGTCATAACCTTCTTAATTCTAGTATTTTTAATGAGATTCTCTATATTTTTCAAAGCAATTTTTTTTTCAACTATTATTTCATTCTAAAAATATTACTTGACAAATTTATATAAAATTTCATGTGATGGTTGTTCGAGTCGCAACTTATTTTATTTGGTTTAAAATAAATAATAAAATTTTTAATAAAAAATTGATTTGTCGCAACTTATTTTATTTGGTTTAAAATAAATAATTTTAATAAAAAATTGATTCGGGTTAATATTCTTATTCATAAAGTCATTGGATGATCAAATAGAAGAGTAGAAAAATGAAAATTTTAAAAAGAGCCCCCATTAGACAAAGGCTTTTTATAATCTTTAATAATCTTGTTCCTATTTGTTTGTTTCTTTCTTGTGTTGGTGGTCCAAGTTTCTTTAGGTGGTTTGTTGGTTTTGTTTATTTGTTGTCATGTTTTATTTTATGGTGGTTGTGTTTTTCTCTATTCAGATGTTTGGTTTTGATTTTCATGTTATTCCTTCCACTCTTACATCCTCTGCATTGATATTTTCAGACATTCTTTGATCTTTTTTCTTTTTGGTGCATTTTGGTCGAGCTATGATGTTTTCCAGCCGTTACATTAAAATTCAACCATACACATAATTTTTTATTGGTAAAAATTTTTATACTATTTGGAAGGTATTTTACTATTTTTCTTCACGTCAGACAAGTTTATCTGAGCTCATTTTTATTTTTCTATCTTCTCTCTTGCATCCTAATTTTTGGTTGACTTTCTGGTTTGGGTTTGATTTTCTAGTTTGGGGGTGACTTTTATTTTTATTTACTATTTTTAATTCAGAGGATAGCTTCTTTTGGTTTATGTTTGATGTTGTTGGTTGGGATTGCTCTGCTTTCTTTTGAAGGGGAGCTTTTGGAGATTTTTTTAGTTTTTTCAAAGTTGATATGGTATGATCTTTTTGTTCTACTATGTAATATTTTCTTGTTTCTGGTGTTACGAGCAATGATATTTTCCAACATTTACATCAAAATTCAATCAAACTTGTAAATGCTTTTTTGTTAAAAAAATTATTTATAGCATTTAAACGGTATTTTAATAGTTTTATTTTCTTTAGGTAAGTTTATCTTAGCTCTCTCTTTTATTTTATCTTTCCTCTTATGTTCGTTTTTGCCCTCTTTTTCTATTTTTTTAGGTTCGTTTATTTGTCCTTCGCTGTGACTTTTGGATGGGATTTGGTTTTTGGATTGGTATTTTCTTTCTTTTTCCTTTATTGTTTTCATTTGAGGGAGTAGATACAAGATGCATTTGATGCTCTGATCGGAGTTGTTAGATTGGATGCTTTGTCTTCATTAGACAAGGATATGTTGAAGAATCAGATGTTTTGGAGCTACTTTATCTTGAGGTCTTCTAGATTTGTGATGGTCTTCTATTGTTCATTAGACCTCTTTCCTTTGTTTTAGTTATTGATCGAAATTTGATTTTTTTTGTGTGAGTTGTACTTTTTTTTATTATTTTGTAATAAAGCTGGGCGTGACACTAAATTTTCCAAAAAAAAAAATAATAATGCTTTTAAAAAATATTATATTTATTACTGTATTTAGTTTACTTTAATAAAATATTGAAAAGTCTTAAAAAAATTTTTTAATAAGGATAATTAATGAATGACAAGAAGCTTCCATAGACGCCAAGCTCTATTGTTGGTCAATGGCAAGAATCAAACTGCAGACAATTAGAGGTTTCAAATGGTGATTATTAAAACTCCCAAGTTCTCTCACGGTTGACAGCAAATTTTGGTTCTGCCCCATATGGTAGAAATCTAAAAAACAATCAGTGTGCGTGGAAGCAAAAGTTGCTCCATAAAGATGCAAAATTATGAGATAATAATAAAACAAAGATTTATATTTTCAAGAATTTTAAGATCCACAACTTCAAAAGAAAAGCTTCGAATAAACAGGCGGGGCATACGGGACGCACCGGCCGTCCCAAGTTCAATAATTCCCAAAAAGCTTATGTCTTTGTTGTGATCGCAAGCTGCGGCATGTAGGCGTACGCAGAAGTGCTTGCCACATCTCAGAATGTTGCTGATGAACCCCCATGAGCCCAACTGTGTTGAGAGGAGTGGGAGGTGAGGGATGAATCTGCTATGACTAAATTTCACGACAAGACATTTTATCTGTCAGAGTGAATTTTGCTGCCACAATCTACTAAGATATATACATTACAAAGATCCCATGTTATAAGACTGAAGATTAACAGTTTTTAACTGTTGATCTGACAATTGCGAGCTAGATGTATTGTTTTTTATATGTAGTAAACAACTGCATAGAACCATTTAAATTCCTTGCACAATGAATAGACGCTTGGCTTAATAATGACCCGCAAAAAATTGTTTAAATGCTTAACTGAATATGTTGAATCTTGCAAGTCATCTTAGCCTAATGATTGAAAGTTTTATCTTTCAACCAAGAGGATTTGGATTCATGGTAATGATTGAGGGTTTTGTCTTTCAACAGGATTTGGATTCAAGGTCATAAATATGTGGCATACGCACATATAAGCGTGTATGTCAGAAAATAAAAATAAAAAAAATAAGAAAGGTACTTAAAATTCTTGTTCAGATTGACAGAACATGCATGGTTAAGATGGATTCATGCCAACGGGCTTATTTTTTTCCATTTTGGAACACTATAAAAAGATACAATAAAATGTATGTAGACTTGGGTGCATAAATCTACTCCTAAAAAATTCCTCCTCACAAGACACACCAACAAGTCAACAACCGTTCAATTCAACATCACAATGAAAAGTTACACACAGATTTGATGAGCTCAAATATCACTGGAAGACAATATTCAGATGAAAAGTTACATAGGACAAGGAAAAAAACGAAAAAGAAATTCAAGCTCATCATTGATACTCTTCATAACTAGGAGCAAGTGTGTAAGTTTCCATTAAGGCAGCATCAGTATCTGACAGTGGAGCTGCAATTCAACATAAATCGTTGAGAGCATATTAACGCAATCAATAGATGTTTAAAAAAATTGAGTAAGAAAAAAAAATTGAACTTTGATGAACGCACCAAGCAAATCTTCATAGCAGTCATCAAAGACTGGCTCATCCTGCAAATATGTAGGCGATAAAACTAGCTCCAAAGATTCTTCACTCTCACAAGAAGAAAAAAGGTGTTCTTTTCTGCCAGTATCTACCACACCAACCTCCTCTTGAGGAACATCAATCAATAGGGGAATAAAGAAATGCTCCGAACCAGCATTGTTTATTTTATCCCCTTTGTTTTCAGAATTATTTGATGGCCCTGACAGTGCAGCCTCGCGGACAGCGAGTCTGAGATTCCGAGCATACATATCACTATCTGCAATTTGGGAAGAAATAAAACGCTACACTTGCTAAGGCATGGTACAATATAATTATAAAGAGGAAGGTGCCAAAATAGTCCCTTGACTATTCGCAGCTCATTTTTGTCCCAGATTTTATAAAAGTGCTAAAATAGTTCCCCTGACTATTTTAACAGGTGTTGAAACAGTATCACAGTTAAAATAAACAAAGTTTACTATTTAAGGTGTTAAGTATAGGGGTATTCTTAGAATTTATATCTTCTTTTTTTTTTTCAGTAAATCAAATTTATTACTAAGCTTATTTTAATTACATTGTAACGAAATTCATGAATTTTTTTTTAAAATTTATATATTGATTTTATTATTTTTTTCAAAAGAATTTTTTTGTTGCTACAATATTTGTATAATTCAAATTACTTGATGTTAAAAAATTTTAATTAACTAAAATCTTTTATTTTTAGAAAGAGCAATATTATTATACATGCTGCTCCTTTTGGCATTTTTTCAAAGTATGGAGCTAAAATGGCCGTGCGTAAATAATCAGGGGAACATTTTGGCACTTTACTTGAATCATAAATAAGAAGGCAAAACTGTATAAGAAACGGTTAAATCAGTGTTGGAAATAAAAGTACTGCAAAAGAATGGGCCAACCTTCTGCTGTAAAAATGGCATCATCACCTCCAAAAAGTGGAGGAACTGAAGTCTCTTTAGACAATCTTGTTAGCTTCTCAGGCTGAGAAATTACAGAATTCTGCTGGTTTGCCAGGTGATTACTCTTCCTTGACCAACTTGGAGTTAGATTAAACAAATGAGGAAGTTTCAAAGCAGGTTTGTCAGAGGCTTTCGAGGAGAGGTTAGAAGCCATCTCAACAATTGCATGTGTGGTATTCTCCTGCGTTAGTGATGAGCGTACAATGTTCTGTAAACAAAACCAATCCAGGGAAAGGTAGAAAAAATTCAATCAAATTGCAAGATCATCACAGCTAATATATTTGGTATACGTACTGCAGTTCTTCCATTACTGTGGGACTCAACAGGCGAAATAGATTTTTTTTGGCATACATCAATGGAAATTGGAGAAAAAGTATTCACTTCTTTTGTGAGCTCCATTATTGACTTCTGCATTGTTGGTACTGCTGCTTTCAGTTGATTCACAAGCTCCTATATTTCAATACATGTAATCAGTCGATGAAAAGAAGAAGAGGAAGAGGGAATGGTTTTTTTGCCATTTGAATGGAATGAAAGTATTCCAAAAAAAAATTTTCATAACACACTTCACCATTCTGCCACAGAAACTGCAGTATATATGTAAGGGCTAAAAAGGAAAATTTAATTAATAAAAATGAACTATGTGTACTTTGATAATGCAGTGCAACATTTTACAGGAAATTTGAGATGCTAGATGCAACAGCAAGGACAAAAATGAATGAATTTGTGACCTGGTATGACGGACACTATGCCAAGTTATGTGTCAATAATAAATTACAAACATTTAATTTGATTCAGACATGCTATAACATCCTGTGTAGTATTACCATAATTGAAAAAACACATTCTAGAGCAGTCTACGCATTTCATCTTGCTTGGTATGCTTTTGATGTGATTCAATATGAAGTGGACAAGAAGTGTTCCCACCATTTTAATGCGATTTTGACTAAATTTGGCTAGCATTTCTACTTTCATTGCAAACTTTACTTTAACCTGAGGCTTTACTTTCATCAGAATATGTAAGTGGCTTTACATTCATGCATATTTTATCTTATTTTGGCCACCGGCTACTTTCTGGTGCATTCCTATGGTTTCAGCATGCTTTCGAATTGATTGCGCTTGCATATGTCTGTCGGCCGTTTTATTGTTCAACTTCACTTTCGTAGTTTGGAAACGGTGATGATTTTGTGATTTTGAAAATAATATAAATATAATTTTTTTTAAAGAAGTAACGTTTTTTAATTTTTAAAATAAGTGAGACCAAACGAGTCTCACATTTTTAATAGTTTAGATGATTTAATACAATACTACAAGCAATACATTTATCCCGAAGAATAAATATATTACTTGTAATAGGGATTTAATCATCTAGACTAAACAATTTGTGACATCCGTTTTGATCTGCGAAATATTTTATAAAAAGGCCAACAAGTTCCCCTATCTAACATAAAAATTAGATAGGGTTTATTTTATCTGGGTTCCTGGTTCCCTATAGAGGCAATCCCCTATAGTTAATTACATCTTAAATGATCGAAATCACTTAAGATAACTCTCGATTAAGATCAGGTAGTTTTGCTTTCAAGATTTCAAAGTTTAGGTTTTCACGATTGGACATGGGAAAATCAAATAAGAATGACTCAAAATAGGAACAATTATTTAAGGAA